GGCAGGGGGCGGGGCGGCGGCCCTCCAGGGCGTGGGTATCCAGGCTGTGGTCACCGAGTGCCTCATCTGTTACTCCGACATCATCTTCAGCGACAAGATGCCCAGCTACGGCTCGCAGGACAACGGCAGTGAGTCTTGTTGCTTTTCCTGTAGTGGAACCTGTCTTAAGACGACCACCCATTGTCAAGAAGAGAAATGAAGTTCTTAAATTTATGGTCTTCCTGGACTGTGTGGTTATGTTAAAGTCGAATGTCTCTGAGACGACTGCCCGTAGTTTAGGAGATAAATGACCATCGTAAACAATGAGTGATCCTCTTGGGTAGGGTATTTATATTGAAGTTGAACCTGTCTAAGATGATGATCCATTGTTGAGGAGAATAGTATTCTTAAACTTATGGTCCTCTTGGACAGTGGCGTTATAATATTTAAGTCGGACCTGTCTGAGGTGGCCACCTGTAATAGAAGAGATAAATTGTCATCTTTAACATTGGGTAGTCCTCTTGGACGGGGTCATTTATTGGAAGGCGAATCTGTCTAAGACGACCACCTTTTGTTGAGGAGATAAATGGTCATCGGTCATCATAAACAACAGATAGTCCTCTGCACGGTCTTGTTATATTAAATAAAACGTGTCTAAGATGACAACCTGTTGTTTAAGAGAAAAGCTGTCCTCTTTGATGGGTGATCCTCACTGACAGCATTGTTATATTAAAGTAAGACCTGAAAAATAAAAACACCTCAATGACTCAAAATGAAAGTTCTGAAAGGCTATGTATGGCCAACCCTTTGATATGTCTGTGAATGCTGGACAGTCATTAACTCATTCGCTACGCCGAGCCGTGGGGGGCGGCGCGGCTAAAGTGCCGTCCATACGCTAAGCCCCCGGCGGCTCGAGAACCGACGTTCAATTTTAGCTTGATTTCTATTCCAATCCACATATCCATGTTAAAATAAAGGTCATAATATAAAGTTGACTTCCGGGTCAAACGTTTCCACCGAAAATCTGAAGTTTTGATTCAGTTTTGAAACACGATTTCGTAGTTTATGCGACATTGTTTTATCGCGAAGCCCAAATTATAGCCCAGACACCAGTCTTAGTAATTTTACACAACAAAATGTATCATTATTTTGCTCACTAAAGAAATGTAGGACTCTTCTTTATAAAATTGATACTACTGGACTCAATTTGCCTGTGCACTGTAATTGAGAAATCAATAATTTTGAGTGCTAGATCTAGGCCTAGATCTAAATTTTATAGTCGAAATATTATTTTTCTCCCCAAAATCACTACTTTTTGGTGAATTTACTCAAAAAAGTACCACCCAAGACATGTATTGGTTTATTCCAAATGCAATTCTGAGTAATTCCATATAAGATACGAGTGCTTTTTTCTGTTTGGGATCCTTTTTCCAAAATTATTTTTAAAAATTGTTTTTTCAATATCGGAGGTTATGATCCAAATGTACAAATATTATGGAATGTATGTAAATAACTGCTCATTTTTCAATATTTTCCTGTTCTATATACAATTATGGTTATTTTGATGTATAATTTGACTAGGTGCAAACATATTTTTTGAGTTTCATATGAGATTATTAATTTTTTGTTTTCAAATTTTATCTGCAGCCAATCACAATTGTGTTGCATAATCGCCTCTTACAGGAACCAAAGTTGAAATATACTCAAATAAACAATACAGATGTATTCTACAAACCATACTGAAAATGTTGGTATATAATATGTTGATATTTATTTGAATTTATGGCCCCCAAGACCTGTGAACTGCGCACTAGTCATCATCTCATTTCGCCCTCCCAAAAAAATTCGTCCACAAGCTGAAAATAATACGTAGCGAATGAGTTAAAGACAGTGAAAATAAAATAGAAACGTGGTTTCTTAGAACACTGCTAAGAATATCATGGAAGGAAAAGAAATCAAATGAAGTAGTGCTTGATGAAGCCCACGAGGGACGCTCAATGTTAAAAACAATGAGGAGGCGACAAATGAAGTTTTTGGGACACCTAAATAGACATAAGGGTCTCGAACATCTAGCTTGCCTTGGCAAAATTGAAGGCAAACGAAGCAGGGGTAGGCCTGAAGGTAGTAATTAAAAGTTGGATTTCCTCTGATTTGGGGGCGGGTGTCTAATAGAGAGCTCAATGTCACTCATGTTTATCACTGCTGGTATTCTCTAACATCCGGACAGATCTTTTCCTTTTTTTGTAGTGTAGTGTTTGAGCTCATGCAGTCCACAACTTGTATTATATGCCTCTGAGGAAGCCCAAAATGTTTTTAAGTGTTCCTCGGTCTGCTGGGGCAATAATAGTTGTAAAGCACATAGAGCATATTGCAGCAGAGTGTGGGTATGTGCTATATATAAATGAAAATAGTATTAGTATTATTATTATTATTATTATTTATTTGGTTTTTTTCACTATTATTATTATCATCATCATTATTATTATTATTATTATTATTATTATTTTCACCAGTATTATTATTATTATTATTTTCATCATTGTAATTATTATTATTATTATTATTGTTATCATCGTCATTATCATTATTATTATTAGTAATAGTAGTAGTAGTATCATTATTGTTATAATCACTGTATTATTATTGTTGTTATTGTTATTATTTATATCATTATTGTTATTTTTATTATGAAAATCATTATTATGATCACTTGTGTTATTTTGTTGTAATCCACAGACCAGAAAAAGCCGCGGCCCAAGTCTCTGGCCATCTCCACACCCACCCGTCTGCTGTCGCTGGAGGAGGCCCGGGAGCGGGCTTTCATGACGCACCTGGCACCCAGCCAGAAGTTTATCGACGTCGGGGGCGGACCCAAGAACCTTCCATCCAAGTACCACACGGTCATAGATCTACCGGGATACAAGTACGTTCAGATTCATGCCCATGAATACCTCACAAATTCTTATATTATGTATCGAGATACATATACCATACTGTCGATTTACTGGGATACCTATGAGTTCAGGTGCATACACATGTACGTCACGCGGTTATTAGTTTATCAGGAATCAATTAAGTTTTGATACATACTCACATAAACAATACTGTCATAAATGTACTGGGTTACAAGAAAGATCAGATGCACACTCACATATACGCTGTCATTGATTTACCGTACAGCTTATTTAAGATACATACACACGTATACCACATAATTCCACATGGTCTTTGAGTTACAGGGATACAAGTGAGTTCAGATACATACACACACTAATACCTTATTTAGCACACACATACGTACATTATGATGTACAATACTGTCAGTTTCGTGGCTGTCTTCGACTTTTTAGATTTGGGAAATTACAGGACTCAGTATAGGAAGGATTAGTAAATGTGGGGTACTTTAACTCTTCTGTGACTTGATCGTTTGCACTGTCAGTTACACCTCAGTGATTGAACAAATGGAAATAATACAAGTAAGAACATCAACCATACCCCCCCCCCCCCCCCCCCTCCAAAAAATAGTCATAAATAAAGAAAGATAAATTAATAAATACGTTGATTAATAAATAGATAATAACAATAAAGACATTTTTAAAAAAATTAAATTACGAGCACGTAAATGATGATGTTGCCATCCGTTTCTGTCCCACATCTCTGACAAGACCAAAGTCTCGTTTGCACGTACCCCTACTGTCTGCTGCATCCTGTCCTAAATACGCCAGATTGGGTCACTTCTTGCTCCCTTCCAAGTTTCTCCTGGCGCCCGGCAGCACGTTCGAGTATAAATAACGCCTTATCTTCCGGCCTGTTTTTTTTTTGCCGTGTTTTTGTTCCAGATTAACAAGTTGGGCTGTTTGGGTTTTTTGCTTTAAATTCTCTTGTTCCGTTAAGTTTGCATTCTCAGGTTTTTCTGTATTTTATCACTTTTGACTATTTTTTTTTTTTTGTGTTGCAAAGTTGGCTTTTTGACTTAACTGATATGATTAACGCCAGCCTAACTTCGTCGGTGTTTGGCGGGTGCTCTGATGTGGATTGCTCCTTCTTTTCTACCAAGCCAAACGTCTGTCGTCCTTATCATTCTTCATTCTTTTTTGTGTTTGTTACTCTCTTGTCACACCTCTAATATCTGTGGCTCTTATGTGACGCTGTTGTGTTGCAAATGCCATAAAACTTTTATTAATTACCACAAAACTTGCCTAACTAAGCTCAATGTCACATGTTTTAGAAGGGATCATTGAGAATGGCCTCTTTGGTTTTACAAAAAAAATTTGTGACAAAATTTCTTTACCTGGGTTTATAGTGTAACATTCAAATGCTTAACTCTTTGAAGACGCAAATTCTGGTCTATCGAACGTTTCAGGAAGCTTAACTTCGTTATCCCTTACAGATTTTCCCAATGCATTTTCTCTTTTCTTAGCCTTAAAAAGGTTAAAAAACGACATGTAGTCTATGAAGTGTTCAGTCTTGTGTTTCTGGGTTGTGTATGTAGATTCAAAATGAGCTACAACATTGCCTTTGGTGTGTTTCTGGTCGCTACAAAAGTGCCCGATACGTCCCTAAAGTGGGAATCGTCCCACATTGTCACTGTGTTTAGATGATGGTGTGTAAATATTATTTCTTTGTTTCTTTTAACACTACCTTGAGATGTACAAAATATCAGATTTCTTTGTTTCTTTTAACACTATTTTGGGCTGGATGTGCAAATATCAAGTTTCTTTGAAGGTGGTTGGCGGGTGCTTTGGTGTGGTTAGCTTCTTCTTTCCTGTCAAACATCTATTGTCCTGGTCCCTCCTCCTTTTTTCGTATGTTTGTCTCTCTAATCTTCAGCATTTATATGACCCAACTATGTTGCAAATGCCGCAAAATTCTAATACTCAACAAAAAATTTGATTGTTTCTTTGTTGCACAGGAAAAAGGTCCCGAGCTCCTCAAAAGAAAACAAGCCAGCCTCGGGGAAAAAGTCGTCGCAGACGACCAACGGGACAGGCAACGTGGGAGGAGGGGGCTGGAAGTCCATCTTCTCCAAACCGCGGTCCGGCAGCGTAAAGAAATCTCGGAAAGGAAGTGGTCAAGGTAGGATGGAAAGCAATGATTGGCCGCTTCTGGCATTTTGTAGATTGTGAGGAGGAGACCTTTTTTGTTTTGAGCGGTGGAATCGGGCATTCGTCAATTTTTAGGGTAATGTAGTTGTTGATATCATCAGTCTGTTCATTTGTCTCACTTTTTGGGGAAAAAAATACCCATTTATCTTGAACAGTTGTCGGAAAATCTGTGATTGAAGGAGGTTGGGGTCCTCTTGTGTCAGAGGTAAAATAAGCGAGGAAACGGCTGTCAAAGTTTGGTGACTTCCAAAGCTAGAGTGCCATTGGAAACAACAATTTTACTTTTTATGTGCCTTTGATCAACATTTTTAAAAGTAAAATCAACACCTAAATGTGTTTTTATATGGACATAAAATTAAATGTGTTGGGCCATATAAGATGTTCTTGTCAGTTTGTTAGTGTTTGAGCGCTTAATCAGCTTGCACTGTATGCTTTCGGGGAAGCTGAGAATGTTTCTGAGTGTTCTATGGTCTGCTGGGGTAATAATATAGTGTAAAGCACATAGAGCTTGCTTTCGAGTAGGGATATGTGCTATACAAATGCTAATGATTATAAATATTTTTATAATTACTTTTATTACTATTATTATCATTATTATTACTATTATGATTTTAATCATTACTAACTGAGACATCTGTTTGTGTGTACAGAGCCCGTGGCCTTGGGCCCGGCGCAGGCTAAGGCTCTGACGGAGGAAGACGTGCACAATTGGAAGCGACATCTACGCAGCGCAAAGAGCGCCGAGTCGCTGTTCTCTCTCAGCAACAGCCCCTCGGCACGCAGCAGCATCAGCAGTCGCACCTCGCGCAGCAACGTGGACAACAGCACTGTCGGAGGGAAGCTTTCAGGCAAGCAGGACTCTACCGGGGCTGCGGAAAGCAAAGGTATTTGATGATGACATTTACGTTATTGATACGATACGGTGGAATTTGTCCAAGATAGCCACTTGATTTAGAGATGAAAAGCGGTTGTTTTAGACAGGTGGATGACTTTGGCAGTGTTTTTATGATGAATAAATAAACAACACATAGAGGGAAAGTGGGTGGTTAGTGGGTGTTCAGGAGTGGTAAGTACAACAACTCTTTCTGATCATCTGTTCTCTTTGCTACTTATATTTTTTAATTATTTTTTTTTTGTGTGTGTGAATAACAAGGGAACGGAGAAACTACAACTCGTAGGCTCAATTTCCTCACACTTTCTCCATAGCCTACTGTTCTGACAAGTGATGGGGCACTTTAAATTATATGAGATATTCTATTCTATTGTACCCTCTAATTATCTTATTTCATACGACATTTTTGGTTTTAACTTTTTCTCTTTGTATACATAACATGGTGATGGATGCGTGAGTTAGGACAAGGAAACAGGAAATATATTTGAGACGTCCACTGGAAAAACAGGCACAGTCACAAACTGGAAATTGTGAGGGTGTCTGTTTTAAAAGCTTGTGGACTCATAGCTTCATATTACTCCTTTGACTGATGATTTATTGTCATGTTTATTAAACGGGGAAATCGAACAACAATAATAAACCAACTGTTGAACAGAAATACAGTTATGAGTCAACAAGTGTATTTTGAACTCCCTCACGATTTTCAGTTTGTGACTATTCTCGTTTTTCTCAATTCTCGTTTTTCTCATGGACTCCTCATTTGGTCACTGTCACAAGAAAAATGAGTTACTCCAAATTTGACAATAATTCACTGGGTAGTGCCAGGTCATTAGGTCATCCATTGTTACTCGTGTTTCATGTGTGGTGATACTATACATATTTGCACTCAGATATGTTAATCACTGTCATGATTTCATGTAAAATAATTAATACTTGTTTTATCACCGTCAGTACTATATTACTACATCCCTATTTTTCTACATTGGAGTCTCTTTTAACCGAAATCTGCTGGACCGCTGGATTTTCTTCGGTCTAGATGGGTTTTTGTGTAGACAGGTTGCTCTTATAGAAAAAAAAAGTAGGGGATTTTATTTTATTTTGGTTTACTGCTGTTTTCCAGATTGACCATCCTTGGTTTGAAGCATGCTCCTTTGTCATTGGGGTTTTTTTGTTTTTTGTTCACTCGTTTTTTGTTTTTAAAAAATATTTTATGTTTTAGCATTTAACCTCGTGTTGATTTTACTGTTTTATTGTTTTTCAAGCCTTTGTTGGCTCTGTTGAAAAACACGAGCCAGATATGTCCGTGCCCCACTTACATGTAGCACCGTAAGTTGGTTTTTTTTTTTCTTTTTTTTCGGAGTGTGAAAAGTGAAACATTTAGGAGAAAAGGTTTAGGCTGTAGAGGATTTCAACTTCTCGTCTGGATGATTAATACGCTACCTTAAATAATTGTCCTCTTTATCGTGTGACCTATCAGGGAGGGACGGGGGGGGTGTTAATGTAGGCAGTTTTACACCCCCATTGACACAACTTAGACCATTTAGAAGACAGGCTTCTAACCCGGGCTGAAAGGGACACAACACCGCAGCAGAAAGGACAAGACGCATGATAAAAATTGTCTCCCCCCGTGAATCAAACTCTTGTCTCGTGTGTGGGACAGAGATGGGAGAAGGATGATCAGAATTACAGAAGACATACTTTACTGATCTAATATCTCTCTGCTAAAATACTGCATTTTGGTGATATTGAAAGATGCATCTTTGATAGAGTTTTGGGAAGGTGTGAGAATTCTCAAGATTTATCTGCAAGTGGATTGCTTGCGACAGTGATGATATGTCTTTAATTCTGTTAAAAACTTCGATTGAAGATAATTTTCCTACTTATTTTGCTTGGAAGAAATTAACCTAACACAGTCTCTTCATAGCTGACTGTACAGTGCTTTTCAGTCGGAAGAAAAAAAAAAGATTACCAGCTGTTAAATGTTAGTGAAGTCCAAGGTATAATGTTACTTTTTGTCATCGAGCCTTTTGTTTGAAGACTGGCGTGCAAAAAGTGCTTTCCCATTTGATGGGGCTGGAAGATCTGGTATATTGTAGCCTTTCATTTTTTTGCCGTACTCATAAGTAGAGGTTTTTGGGTTGTTTTTTTCTTTTTTCTGTGAAGCTTTCTTATGATAATAGGTAAAAAATGGAAATAACAGAAAAGAATAAACCAAATCCTTCCAGCTCTTCCTCCACCCCACCCTCACTCCTCTCCTCATCCCATTTCCTAGGTCCCCCCCCACCCCACCCCACAAGAACTCTTTGCACTGAGGTCCTCAATGTATCATAATATATATATGCACTAAAACAGGTGACGGCTGGATGGATGGTATCTAACATATGTAGCATCACTAACAAACAAATCTATTTCTCCACACTCCCCACTCCTCTCTGTCTCCTTCCTGCTGCCTGCCTGCATTCGTGCATCTGTGCGTGTGTCGTCATGGTCCGTGTGTTGACACACTCCAGCTCTGCGCAGCCTGGCTCACCTGTCCCACAAACGCTCCCTGTCCTCGGACGCCTCCTCCGTACTGCATAACCGTTACCGTGGCGACGGGACTCAGGTGGAGGTCCACCATCACGTGCCCATAGACGTGGATGGTAAGAGATAGGGTTTTTTGTCTCTGTCTCTGTGTGTAAGTGTGTGTGTGTGTGTGTGTGCGCGCGCTCACATGAACACTAAGTTGTGAACGGTTCGCAGGTGCTCTAGTGTGGTTGGCTCTTTTTTTGTTCTATCAAACATCTATCGTCCTTATCTCTCCTCCTTCTTTCCTGTCGAACATCTATCGTCCTTATCTGTCCTTCTTTCCTATCACATATCTATCGTCCTTATCTCTCCTCCTTTCATATTAAATATTTACCGTCCTTATCGCCCCTCGTTCTTTTTTTTGTTTTGTAATCTTTTGTAACACCTCTTATCGCCAGCCCTTAAATGACCTTATTGTGTCTATAGGGGCTTAAAGCAACAACTTCTACAAATACTGTGTTTTCAACAGTAATTCAAATCCATTGATGTCCCATTTGATAGTTTTTGCTGTGTTTTAACTTTTGTCAGCTCATAAATAGTCCTAGTGGTTAGGCTATCCGACTTGAAATCATGAGGTTGGGGGTTCGAGCCTCAGCTCAGTCCAACATTGTGTCCTTGGGAAAGGCACTTTACTGTCACACAATTTTCCATTTGGCTCTGTCCTTATTTTGGAGATGGACATTAAACTCGGATGCCCCTCCTCTTAAATGACCTAATAGTGTTGATAGAGGCCTTAAACCTATATCATTTTCTTTCCTTAAATGGCCTTTTTTTTCTCTACTTTTTTGTCTTTGTTTTTCTTCTTGTCCAGTGATGAGTTCAATTCAGATGAAGGCAGATTTTTATCCTTTTTTGTGAAAGAATAACTCGCTGACCCACTGCCTATATTGGTGGGTTGTTGGCGGGTGCTCTGGTGTGGTTTGCTTCTTCTTTCCTATCTAACCTCTATCGTCCTTATCTCCCCTTTTTCTTTTTTATGTTTGTTACTCTCTTGTAACACCTCTAATCTTCTGGCGCTCATATGACCTAATGCAGCTGCGAACGCCGTAAAATCTCTACTAAAAAAGCCTATATTTTTCTTTATCCATTTACTTTTTTTCTATTTATTTAAATGTTCTTTTCTAATTTCACAATACTCTATGTACTAACGATCTGTAAAATTTATTACCAAGGGTGGTTGGTGAGCATCTAGTGTGGTTTGCTCCTTCTTTCCTATTTAACATCTATCATCCTTGTCTCTCTACTCCTTTTCTCTGTATGTCACATACTCTCTAGTTACACTTCTAATCTTTGGCATTTATGTATAAGCTATTTTTGTTGCAAGTGCTGTAAAACTCGTACTCGAAGTAAACGAACTAAAAAAACTTTTACCCTGTATTCCCCACAATGTGAGGCACACGATACTTTTCCTTAACTTGTTTGGATAGCCGCCATAGAATCGAGTGCTTGTCGTAAGACTCTGCTGTACGCCATTTTGAAAAGTGATGTAGGATGGAGTCTTACCCTGAGCAGTGAAATGTAGAGGGGCAGGATACATACAACATTGTGCTCTGTCTTGTTTGTTGTGTTTTAACGCTCTCTCAAACTGTCCAGTGGGTGGTTGGCGGGTGCTCTGGTGTGGTTTGCTTCTTTTTTCCTATCAAACGTCTATCATCTTTATCTTTTCCTCCTTTTTTGTGTTTGTTACTCTCTTGTAACACCTCTAATCTTCTGGCGCTCATATGGCGTTATGCAGTTGTGAGCGCTGTAAAACATCCACTAAAACTGTCCAAAGTGGGTAGTTGGTAGGTGCTCTTGAGAAATTCACTTCTTTCCTATCAAATATCTTTCTTACCTCCCCTTCTCCTTTTTTGTGTTTGTTACTCTCTTGTAACATGTTCAGCACTATGACTTAATTGTGTTGCAAGTGCCATAAAACGCTTTCTAAAACAAATTGCTCTTTTTTATGTGTTTGTTACTCTTTTGCAGCACCTGTAATTTGTCTCTTGTAAGACCTTATTGTGTTGTTGCAAGCGTTGTAAAACTTTTACTAAAACCAACACACGGTCCCTCTCAACAGATGACGAAGACTTGTCCGGCAAGCAGAGTTTCATCCGAGGTGACTCTTCCCGTAAAGCCATGCACCACCGACGCGCTCCGTCCGCCCCCAATACGCCCGGTCAGGATCGGCGGCACGGCGGCATGGAGCGCAGCTCGAGCCTCAATCGCGGCGAGACCTCGGGCAGCGACGACATGGACCTGGGTCTCGACGATTTCGTGTACCCCAAGTCGGAGTCGAGGGGAGATGTGAACATCGACGCGGCCATCAAGTCTCGACTCCTGCAGGTGGCGGAGAAGAACCGGTCGGCCAAGTCGAATGAAGAGCTGACCTTGACCTCGTCGCCGTTGAAACGCAGCGCTAAGACGCCGCCCAAGGGAAGGAAGAAGCCGAAAGGTTCGGGACATTCGCATGTTGGGTCCAGCGAGGACGAGCTGTCGTCCCCGACGAACACCTCACAGCTCTGTCCCCAGAAGGTGATCCGCTCGTCCAGCGATATCTCGGGCAGTGTCGGAGCGGACATAAGCCCATACGACAACGACGACCGGGAGAGCCGCATGCGCCGGTTCTACTCCCGTTTCCACGACTACGCCGAGATCCTGTCGGACGACGAGGCGATCGCGGCCACGCCCAGCAGCCAGGGCACCATGTCCGTGTCCAGCTCGGGCTGTAACATGCAAGACGTCCTTGACCAGATCGACAGCCGGCTGGCCATGACGGCCAAACTGTTCCCCCGGCAAGGCATCGGCGACACCTCGGGGTACCGGGTCGGCGACCCGCCTATCACGCGAGAGACTGTGTTCAGCCGTAGTGTGGAGACCACCGTGACCTCCGCGACCTCTGCTGCCTCCAAAGAGACAGAGTTTTCCGTCATGGCCCCTTCGGCGGCGGCTGCGACTTCCTCCGGTTTATTGGCGGGTTCTAGCCGAGAGACTGAGTTCCCCGCCACGTGCAATACCTCCCCCAGGGAGTTGTCTAGTCATCAAACCAACACCCACGAGCATCTTGGCCTTGACCCTGACGCTGACACACACAGGTCACTGGAAGGTCAGAGCTCGTCAAAGTTGTCTCCCAACCAGGGGGGCACAGAAGTTTCCAGAAGAAGAGTGGAGATTTCCAGAGCGGATAGTTCCGGCAGACAGGGGTCTTCGAACTCGAGCCCTCAGCACGCTGCTAGCGTGACGGACGGACAGACCAGCAGCACGTCAGCTCCTTGCTCCACCAGGGTTGTGAGGAGGCAGGCAGAGTTTATCCCTAGTTCGGGGGCCGCTGGTTCGAACCTCGAGGACCTCAACACTTTGTTGGACAATCTGGAGAACAATGGATCTCCACACAGAAGGACTATGGACCCCTCGTACCCCACGTCCTCAAACTCCGTACGGTCACCTGAACACCGAAGACAGAACGCGTCAACTTCCTCTTCTTCTTCATCAAAGCCACAGGACGATGATGTGTCTTCTTCCCAACCTTTTGGTTCAAGGACATCCCCTGTTTTCCTCCCTCCCGGCACTCACGACGGGATGATGGTTGCGACGGCTACTTCCCCAGGTTTGGCGGGCATGAGCAAGTGTCTGAGCGTGCCCAGCGACATCGCCCGCTCACTTGAGAATGTGACGGCCAGCCAGACAGACATGATGTCCTCTGTGACCATCAGCGAGCTGTCCATGTCTGTCAACTCTTTCAACAACGGGATGGGTGTGGACGACCACCGTGGTGGGCCCCACTCGCGGGCTGCGGGCTACGGCGCGATGTATGACAACAGCGATCTACGACGTCGCCGTAGTACCAGCCTAGACAGCCTCGGCGACGGGGACCGGCTGATGACGCGGACGTTGAGAGAAATTAACCGACAGATGGACGCGGCTTTCAAGACCGATGCGCCTGGCGACGGTAGCCAGGATCTTGCCGCTGCTTACAACGCCCGGGATGCCGTTCGACATCAGCGCCTTATTTCCTCCGACCTTGACCTTAGCTCGAGTCCAGAGACAAAGATGGCTGGAAAGGGATTCCACGATCCTTCTTCATCCGGCTTCTGGGGTGGTCCGGGCGCTGGATCCGAACTCCATGGCCCCCGTGAGCCAAGGCAGGAGGGAGAGGCTTGGGCCAGTTCAGACAGCATCGTTCAGCTGGAAGCGTCGGATCAGAGCATCACCCCCACGCAGAGCTCTGCCGACAGATTCTCTCTAGTCTCCCACCTCCCCCCTCACCACTCCCTCCAACCACCACCTGCAGCTGTGGACCCGTCTTCCTTCTTGTCTGTCCGCTCTGGGGTTCCAAAGTCGATGTCATCTGATGATTCGTCTCTTCGCAGTTCTTCTCTCGTTCCAGGGAGCTCAGACGGCGGGTTAGTTCGGGTTCTGAGCGATACCCTCTCATGTCCCAGCGACATCTCGCCCACTCTGACAAACGTAACACCAGAGTTCAGCCCGGACGCCATCTACCGACAACAACATCAGCAGCAGCAACAGCAAGCATCTTTATCATCATCATCGTCCTCGTCTTTGTCACAACCTTCGCATGTACATCAGGGAAAGCAGTTTACCTTCTCCACTTCCTCTTCCTTGTCCAATGAGAGTGATCCTTTTTCGCCACGCCCCTCTGATGTCACCAGACGTCGCTCCGACTTGCATGACCCCCGAGGAGCTGCGGCAGATGAAGAGACGTACAGACATGAGGACGGACACATCGTCGCTGCCCCGGGGACACGTTCAGGCCAGCAGCCGTGCGGGCACAAAGACATCAAGTCTCCCATCTCAAAGACCTACGTCAGTGACACGGTTTTCGGCCACCGTCCGTCTTCCCAGGGTCAGCAGTCTTCCTCCGTAGGCCGTAGTGACGTTGCGTATGTCTACAAAAAACGCTCCTCCTCGTCTTCTTCCACTTCATCCGTCTCTTCCAAAAGTTCGGAAGAGTTTGATGAGGTCGCTTCTCCTGAAGAGGAAGAGGGAGATGAAAGACAAGTTAGACCGCCGGTCAGTTCCAACGTGGTGGTGCCAGTCAGTATGGCTGACTCGGGACCAGGAGGCGAGGGAAATGTCAAGGACAATAGGCGAGGCTTGTCTTTGCCCTTAGGAGGAAGCTCGCAGAACGAGAGGCTAGTTGGTAATGAGATGCAGAGACAAGTAGGGAGAGGTAGAGGACACCCGCCAGCCCCTCTGGGAAATCTCCACGTGGATTTGTCGGGTATAGAGGCATCCTCCTCCTATTCCCCGCCTTCCTCTCACTCGCCAGTGGTCAGACGTCAACATTCTCCGCGCGTGTCACCTCGCGGGATGGCTGGGGCCCGGGCAGAGCCAGGGCTTGCTGACAGTGGAGCTCACGAAGGCTCCGGACGACAACAACAACAACAACAGCAACACCACTTTCAGCAACAACACGAACTTCTCCACCTCCCATCCAGCCCGCTGTTCAGCGGGGGACCTGCGGGTCAGATGCTGGCCGATGCGGAGACCTCGGAGCGTATGTCCAGCCTGTGTGCCGTGGGCCTGATGAGCCAGAGAGCCAGACTGAGCCGCGAGTCCTCCTGCAGCAGCCTACAGTCCCCCGACTCCCTCACGGCCAGCTGTCTTATGGGGGCCGCCGCCGCCGCCAACACCCGGAGCCCTCTGGCCACCCCTGTCAAAGAAGCCTTGCCGGACATCATCCAATCCACTACGCAGCCAGACGAGGGAGGAGGGGGGGTAGCGGGTTCGGATCCGGGCGATCAGACGGGCAGGAGCAACGTCCCCTTACAGCTGGCCCTCTACCACCCTGACGAGTTCTCAATGGACATTTCGGCGGCCGTCTCCGGCCCTCCCCCTGCCCCAATCAGACAACCAAGTCTCCACCCGTCGCCCTCACTTCCTCAGGTACACACTTCTTCCGACACAGTCATGGAGAGGAAGCCTACGCTAAGAAAATCCTCCACAGAGAACGCTATCTCTGCGCAGTTAGACAAAACCCCTCCCTCCCCCTCCTCATCCACAAGTCATCAAGAGATGAGAGAATCTGGTACAAAATCTAGGTCACAACCTTCAGAGCCTTCTTCTCGCAGCCTCAGCAACACCACTCCTGCCACCTCCTCCTCCTCTTCTTCCTCCTCCTCCCTCAGGAAGGCACAGGATCCGAACCTGAGGGCCCTGCAGGACACAAGTAGCCCCGACAGTTTTCGCCACCGCGCGTCCAGTGACAGTCTGACGAAGAACCGAACCAGCAACACAGCGGCTTTTCAGGACAGGAGAGGCAACCTCAGACCAGATGTAGGCACTCCGGCCTTTCCAGACCTACGCGGTGCCCAGGCTGGGCCTATAGCGGGACAAGAAGCGTCCAGGAGACGACCGCAAAAGCAGCAACAACACCAGCAACAGCAATGTCATCAGGAGCAGCATCAGCAGCAGCTTCAGCAAAACCAGGTAGAGCGTGACGAGCAGGTGGCGATGGAGGTGGATAACTTGTGCAATAAACTGGTGGATGATTTGAACTCGCCTCAATCAGTAGACCCGCCCAGTGATTTCCCCTCGGAAGTTCTGACCGCCAGGGCCTCGCAGGATGTGAGGACGGACGTTGACGAGCAGGGCACAGTTTCCATGGAAGTGGAGACCTCTTTAGAGGTCAAAGGTTCTGAGCACTCTTCCCCTGTTGTTCAGGAGAGAAGGATCCTACGTTCGTCCAGTGATAACGGACAAAACGTGGAAGAAACGAGGATGGTCAGTGTGAAAGGAGGTGCGACGGGAGGGAGGGGAGGAGGGGATATGGAGGAGGAAGAGGTTCAGAATGTTTTGAATCAGGGACGAGAGATTCTCATGTCTCCTGACGTGTCCGAAGGTCAAGGATTGTCGTCATCATCGACCGGGAGAATGGGCAGTAACGAAGCGCCCACCGCCAGCAGAGGCCATCAGCAAGGGGCAGCCGCAGCAGCTCAACTTAGCACGGGGGGTCAGACGGGGAATCCGACACTGGACGAAGCTTCCTCCTCCTCCTCCTCTGCCTCTTCTTCTTCGTCTTCCTCCTCTAACGCTACAACTTTACCGCGGCCGGATTCAGGTATACCCGTGAGGAAGACCTCCTTTTCCAAGATCCCTCGTCCGAAAACAGGATCAGACGGAAGCTCCACTCGGACTAGCAACAGTGCCACCTCCAGTCCTAACGTCAGTGCTTCCCGCAGGCCCGAGTCCGCCTCTTACCCCTCCTCCTCCATGTCAAGCTCTATGTACGCAGACATTTCACTCGGGTCTTCCTCCTCGCCTTCCTCTTTAAAGGCCAGAAGGGGTTCGGAAGCGACCTCCGGGCCCATGTCAAAGCGTCAAGGTCACACAAGAAGGGCGTCGGACACTAAGGTCACCGACCTGCGTACAGTCTCTCCTACCTCCCGCTCACATGGCAGCCCCCAGGGCAAGAGTGACTCCACTTCTACGAGGGGGGTGACCAGTCCGAGAGGTCGTAGTTCAGCTGGATCAGACTCGCGACCTTCTGGCAGTTCCGCCTCTCCACAGTTGTCTTCGTCGTCTCGTTCCTCCAGAATACCGATGTCCCACAAAATACCCAGCCCGCAGCAGTCTGAGAGACGGGTTGATTCTTCCTCCTCCTCCTCTACCTCTTCCTCCTCACTCGGCACCCAAGGCTTGTCCAAACAAGGAAGCTCAAAGTCGCGTAGCCCCATCCCAAAACCACGAAAAAGCAGCAGTAGTGGTAGCAGTGGGGCGGGCGGGGGTGGAGGTGCGAAAGAGGCTGGGGTCCCACCATCGGAGGAAGTGATCGAGATTACGAGACAGTCGGTGAAACGTGAGAATTTAACCAAGTCGGGAGGAGCTGCAAGTCGTGATTTGCCAGGAAGGAAAGATGTCGATGGCGGGGGCAGGAAGACTGTTGTCATTAAAGACATGCCGGACAAGGGCGGAGCTAAGCTGGTCATTGACACACAGCCAGATCTGAAGAAGAGGATCCAGACCGTCCATGCTAAGAAAGTCTCTCAGCCACCAAGACAGCTAGCAGAGGCTTTGGATTCGGAGGATTCGGGTCAAGGTCAAGGTTGCGAGAGACCGTCGGAACCCGTGGTGGCCGCGAGTACAGCTATATGCAGAAGTCCAGCTGAGTCAAGCGTAGTGGCGACGCCATCGCATTCGGTGACTTTCTCGGAGGAAGTGACGCAACACTCCCCTCAGACATCACCGACGACGGAGGGAGGAGGTCCCCCCAGTAATGAGGAGAGGAAGAAGACTCCGCCCCCCGTGGCTAAACGGAAGTTTCACTACGACTCCAAGTCCCTCCCGCGCCGGTCCAAACAGCTGAACAACACGCAGGTGAGCCTGGTCCAGCAAAGGACAGCCGCCGAGCTCTACTCGGACATGGTGGGAAGCCGCTCGTCCCTCGACGACTCTGTGCTGCAGCTCGCCGCGGAGAGACACGATCACTTTGTTCCCCCCGGCGACAGCGAGGCGGCCAACTTCGCCTACTGCTCGGGCTCGCTGCGGGCCAAGAGGTCGCAGAAGATGCAGAGTCTGGTGAATTTGTTTGAGCGCGGGTCTGACTCCAATGTCTCGGACAGCTCGGGCAGTCCCGGGACCAGACACCGGGACCGGACCTACTCTGGGTCCGTGCTGGGTAGTAACGGGCCCATGCTGACCCCGTGTTTTGAAGGTCGAGCAGACTTGGACGTAGACGATGATCCGTTTTTGGCCTCATCGTCTTCTCCGCCTCAGGTGTTGAGACACAGCGCGGGAGAGCTCCAACTGTCCCTGTCTCGGGAAAGGATTCCGTCTTACACCTCGGCAAGGTCATCGGAAAGTAGTGCCGTAGATAAGGAGAATGTGGAGAGGCTGGCGGAAGGCGGGCACAAACGCGCCAGGCAGGGGCGAGGAAGCTCGGGAGACATGGGTGGTGCACGGCCGGTGTCTGGGGAGGTGGGGCCATCTCACCAGGGGGCGTCACCAGGGAGGAAACCCTCGGCGACCGACCGGGCCAGCCGTCAGAGTGGTCAGCCCTCGTCCACTCCAGCCCCTGGCGGTCCTACTGACTCTGGGATTCTGTCTTCCCCGGCTACGGCCACAAAGAGCTCAAGACCTCCTCGTTACCGTAGCAACTCCAAACCGCGGACACAGAGCGAGTCATCCACGTCTGAGTCGGACACCACCCATCAGATAGAGCTGACTCACTCCCAGACGGCCAGCGCGACTCCATCGTCTAGAGACTCCTTCCCCTCTGCTTACCCCGCTGTGGATTCTGTCGTGCTGAGAGACTCGGGTCAGACACCGGTCAAGCGAGAGCGACGGCTCAACCACAACCGACACAGCTGTGACCTGCCATCGGAATCACACCGCAGGGACGGACTTCTGTCCTCCTCCACGTCATCCGTCGTTCCTCTATCACCGTCTATGTCTTCGTCTTCATCATCGTCTTCGTCTGTTCTAGCTGTGACCTCAAACTCCCACACGCCCCCGGCGTCGCCCAGAAGAAAGTCGGAGAGAAGAAACAGCATCAAGGAACTGAGACAAGTGTTCGAACGGTCAGAATCAGACCCGGCCTCCTCCGATGTCCCTCTCTCCCTCAGCCCGACCAGTGTGGCCGGCTTCCCATCTACCTCCGCTCTCCCCCCGCCCCGCCCCCTGACCCGGTCCATGTCCCCTCAGCCCGACCCCCCCTCAGGACAACGGGAACAGGTTAACCTGATGCGTCTGAGCCTGGAACTTCCCCCCAGCGCGGCCATCGGCTCCATCGGCCCCACGCCTGCCACCGTCTCGGCCCCCGATGCCAGGGTTCAGTCGGTGCGGCTTGGACCGAAACCATTTTACGGCGCGCAAAAATGAGCTGTCCACCCTCTTTTGTGTATCTACTTACTATATAATCATAAAGATGTATGATAATGCTGTGCCGGTTGCGTGGACTCCAGCACAGGATGAGATTAATAAGAAAGGCTGGTGATGATGATGACCATGATGATAATAATGACATAATTGAATCATGACATCTTCTTAGCACATTTGCAATGTGTTGGGGAAAATACTCAATGTGCTTTTAAGGTGTAAAAATGGGAGCTGAATTTTTTTAAAACAAAAATGAATTCTCTTTCTCTGTGTCTCTTTGTCTCTCTCTTCCCCTCCCTCCTTCAAGTCCTTCCTTCCTCCCCCTTTCTTCCCTCCCTCCCTATACTGGTAGAACTATAGAAATCTCAAGACTAAGAGGAGTTCTGAGCTTCAGTACATATGACAACCAGAACTGCAACATCTTCCTTGCTTGGAGACATTCTAGTCTCAAGTTGTTGGAAAGTCTGAAGAGGTGTTTTAAGTTTAAGGCTAGCCACTATGTCCTGTACCAGATGAATGTCAATCCTGGTATCTAACCTTCTGATTCTGTGACAAAACCTGGACACCAAATTGTGTTTTAGCTGAATTTAGATAATTTTTTTCTGGCACGAAGATTCAAATATTAATTTTTTTTAAACTGTGGCTCGGACCTTCCAAACTTGCTGTCTAGTTCACTTATATTTTCATCTCCTCTCCTGATATTTCATTTTCATTTTCTTTTTATCTCTTATTTTGATATGAAGTCTAAATCTGTCCCAAATGGATTGCAGTAAAATAGATGAATATATATATGTCTTTGTCTTTTTTTATGATCATTTCTCTTTTTGACCACCTCTTGTCGCCCCCACCAAGGAAAGTTGACGTGTAAGCCTCCAAGTATGGTCCAGAATTCTGTTGCCTCTGTCTGTGTATGAGAGATACAGTCATTGAATGGTGATATTCCACAACCGATGTGACTTTTTAGATTCTAGCCGACAGTCCCAACGTATTAGCCTCTCGCTACTTACTCCTCTTTTCCCGTCTACATGAAGTGACTTGCCCTCATCGTAAGCTGGGCATTCTAGAACTCTGGTCGTTTTGTGGAGTTTTCACGACTTTCAACCTATTTTGCTCAGTTTTATTAGAGACAAAAGTTATTTTAGGATATCCCGCCTCTTAAATAACCTAATAGTGTTGTGAAACCCATACACTTACTATTTTTACTACCCACATCGACCTTGAGAGATATGCTTTGTTGTTTGGGTTTTTTTTGAAAACCAGATAAGAATTTAAATCAAAGCTGCAGCTCTCCTCCAAAGACTCATCTCTGACGTGTATGTTTCATCGTTATATACACACACTCACACACAAGTCCCCCACCCCCCCACCCCACCCCTCCTGCTCTTCAGCTCTCTATCACACTACTCTGATCAATGATGTATCTTTTCCAAAGTACTCCTCACAATTCACGATACATTTACTTTCATCCTCATGATTTGTACAGAGCTCACCAGTGAGGTGCTCAGACCCACTGATATGTCGAGAGTTTGAAACTGCTGAAGAAGTTGACTCCATCGGTTGAGGGTTTTTTTAATCGGGCTCAAATGAATGTGTTTTTAGCTTTTTAGGGATTTAGGCTTTGGGGTTGAATAGTGCTGCTAATAGTAGATAGAAAATAGTTATAGTTATATGGTTTTCTTGAACTGAAGAGGTTGTGCAACATTTGAAGGGGTCAAGTGAAAAACAGAAAATGTCCCTTTTTCAAAACTAAAAAAATCAGGGTACTGGCCTTGAACTCTTTCTGCGCCACTTGCCCCACATTGGGCCACCAGTCTGTTTAGTACATGGTAAAGTGGTTAAAGCAATTGGGCATGGAAAGAGTTAATTTACCACAGTACCTGTAGAGTATTACCTTACAATACCAGTCAAGTGAAAAACCTGTGAGGCAGCGTGGTGGAGTCAATTTTTAGGCACATGGAGTTATTGGTATCATCTTAAAGCTTGTTCACTTGTCTTTATTTGGTTAAAAAAAAAAGATCCATTTATTTAAATACAAATCGAGATATTTGTGAATGAAGGAAGTGGGGGTCACCTGTTTTCAGAGTAAAATTAGTGAGAAAATGGCCGCCAAAGATTAGTTATTTCCTTAGCTTAAGAGTCCGCGGTTACTAAAAATTTACATTTTTTGTGCCTTTAATCAACGTTTTTCCCAAAAAAAAACACACAGAAATTAATTCTTTAATGGACAAGAAAGATGTTGAGCCAAAAAACTAAAATTTTATAAAAATTCACAAGCTGCGGAAAAATGTTAGTTTCTTCACTTTGATTATTTTGACGAGAGCCCGATTCCACCAAGCTGCCTCCAATATACAACCTGTGTGTTTAAAAAAGTTGACTGGCTCTCATATGACCTTATGCCGCTGAGAGCACCGTAAAACTCTCACCAAAAAGAGACGTTTTTGAATCGTGTAAAGAACAAACCTTACACAAGTGAAAAGTCTGTGAAGTTGTAAGTAGCAGGATACATGTGACCTGGCCCGCGTTCTTTTCCCTTGACGCCTTCACTTGTCCCTCTGTACACATTACAATATCAGCATTGAGCTTTCTATTTATAGCCACAGTATTGCTTCTAGTTTTTAAATGAGTTTGATGTTTGTAGTAAATGCATTTTATATATCATGTATATATATAACGCCTTCATCCCAGAACAACACCTTGACCCCTGAATACTTTGATTTTATCAAATAAATCCAATAAATTTGCCGTAATCTAAAACCACCCACTGTTCGCTGCTTGCAAAGGAAGGAGCAGCTCATTACAACCTAGTTGCTAATATAACACAATGTCTATGAAAATCAAAATATGCAATACAATATATATTTACACATATTTATTATCATAAAAATTTCATCTGGTCAGTTGTTTGATATTCTTTAAACCAAAGTGGGGTTGTTTTTTTTTGGTTTTTTTGTCCCTCGTGACCTTTGGCTGTTGTGAAGGTCACAAGTGTGTTCTGAGAGAGAATTTGCTCAATGTTGTTAAGTGTAGGAGGAAATGTGCGGTTTTGGAGATACTGATGACTTTGATGGGTGGGGGGGGGGGGGGGGGGGGGGGGAGAATGAGGAGGAATCCGCTGAAACGGAAATCTGTGGGACTGCTAGATTTTCGTGGGTTTTGCTTGGTTTCCTGTTCAGAGAGGTTGCTCAAATAACGGGGGGAAAAAATCTGAGATTTTATTTTATTTTGGTTTACTGCTGGGGTTTTTTAGGGGGATTAACTGTGTTCAGTTTAAGTTTAAGCGAACTCCACCTTACTTTTTTTTAAGAGTTAAAAATGTTGTCTGTCCTTGATCATGATGAGTTTTTGTTGATAAAATTGTCGAGACTTATAGAAATCTAGAAAGACTTTGTGTCCTGAGTTGTCATCTTTAGCAGAAACTGGATTTGTTAAATTAGTTGTGTCCCTTAGGAAATTGTTCCATTGGATTGGAGAGAGCGATGTTTCAATGGAGGCATCCTCTCTTCTAGAACCTTATTATGTTGAAATGGGCATGAAATTCTTACCTAACTGAACAAAGCAGATGGATTATATTTTTCGCACCTTTCGAAAGTCTCGATGGTAAGTTAGGCATCATCCCTTAGAAAATAGCCTAAATAGTGTTGGGAAAAGTGTACAACTTTTATTAACTCAGCTGGCAATAATCTTCATCAAGCACATGTTTGTGTCAAAGGTCAAAAGGCCAAAGACTGCTGTATTATCTCCACCTTCTCTCGTTGATGCCTCAGCATTGTTCACTCTTCATCACCAAAAGGTGACATCTCTCAGTAACTTCATTTTCATTCCCTTTCTGCTGTGTTGGTTATGCCCAAATCTTCAGTGTCACAAGCCATCTACTTTTGAATTCAGTTTCGGTACTTTTCACACACAAAATCCTAGATTGTGTATGCTGTTCCTATCGGGAATCATTAAAAGCAAAAGAAATTGTAAACCTTGACCACAGCACTTCATTGCATATTTGGTGGGGTTGAAATGGGCATCTTTGAAAGAGTTTGTGGGGGGGGTAAAAATCAAAAGTTCTCAAAATTAGAACTCATGTGGTTGGCTTGCGACAGCGGTGAAATACAGTTGAAAATGTCCGAGACTGCCTGCCTTCCATCGAGGAGAAATGTGGTTGTCTTAGTCACAGACAGGTGGACGTCTTAAACTATGACATAATGAAAGACGGAAAAATACCCCCACCAAGTTGAGAAATGTTTGTTCTTACAGGTGATTGTCTTGGACAGATGACCGTTGGAGCAGGTTTGACTGTCTTATGCAGAAACCTCTCCCCTCCCCATCAACTTGACATAATTTATAACATTGAGCTCTCTCATTTCATCTCTACTGGTCACATTGATGTAGTAATATTATCCCGGACCTGCCAATTACTCCGAGAAAATTGGAGCTCTCAGAATCTCAAAGATTTTTTTTTTTTGTCATCGAACAATCGGGTCATATTTTCAATAAAAAATGTTTTTATTCATAAAGTCTGCGTCCTTCGGTTGTATTAGACTCATCCTAAATGACATAAATATACACATTTGAATCGCGTTTGCTTGCAATCTTGGTGCAACGTATCAGTGTAAATTATGTTTAAAATATGCATTATTTATTTCAGTGTATTTGCTGTACACATTTATATGCCCACTTCTTTTTGTTATGATATCTCAATCTCCTGAGGTTCTGGAGAATAATCTTTTTTTCCCTCTAACTCTAATTGTTTTTTAAAAGATTTTTGGGAAAACTCCTAATTTTAGTCCTGGAATGGTTGGCAGGTCTGATATCGTAATGGTAAATCCTCCACTACATTGCCCTTTTTACAAAGAATACCTAACTTATGGGACCTGATCTGGTCCGAAATAAACACCTGACTTACAAGAATAAAATCCTGAGATCAACTCTTGCCTTGCCCTAATTTTTATATACTGTCTTTGTAATTTAACTTTTTTTAACCAGATCGGTGTTGTCATTATTTGACTTACCTGAAGTTTTATCTGTTCATTGAAATTCTATTGATTTACCGACATTATAACCGACAGTGAAAAGTATGTCTCCACCAAATGAAGTAATTTCTATTTTTAGTCCTTGCGTTTCTCGTTCTACTCTAACCCTCTTAACCTTTTCTGGTTTTTAGAACGAAGAGCAAAGGAGATTTTTTTGCTCCCGATTTCATTTTTCGTTGTGATTTATCAAACTATAAAGATTCCTTTTCATGTATATGGTACTCTAAAGGAAGAGAATTTCAAAACTTTTGTCTATTTGGTGCTTGTTTTTACAACAAAACTTTTTTTTTTAACCCAGCACAAAACTGACCAAAGCTTCTTGGACATGAAACCTTTTTTAGGTTTTCATTCAATATTCTTTCCTGCTGCGTGACTGATTTTAACATGCTTTACTTTTGGCATTGTGTTGTGCGTATTATATTCCATCAGCTGACCTCTTGCTCTTTAAATTTCCTTTTCGTTTTTGTCCTATGGACAAACACAAGTCTGAGCTCAACATTATGGTAAAATACATATTGCTGATCAGGGTCTGAGAGGGGATCTATAAATATACGTATTGCTGATAATTTCTGAGAGTTCCACGATGGTACTGTACTGTTGGTCTTTATGAGGGCAATGATAAGTGTTTTAAGGGGGGAAAAATGTTCACAATTTATTTTTAAAAGAATGGAACGGAATGACATCATGGAGGTGAATGTGTTAGTTTTGTTTATCTTCACTCCCTTTGAATTTACTGGTCATTTTTTGTTACGCTGCAAAAGAGGAAATACTCAAAAACTAATGATCACACCGATGGTTGTATAGATATATATATATCATGTTCCCATTTCTCAATGCCCGAACAGTCATTTTTACAAACCCCCCCCCCACCCCCTTTCTTCTGTCCACCACCGTTTCACTAGCTTTCCTCTCT